AAAAAAAAAAAAAAAATTTTTTTTTGTAGAGGTAGAGTCTCACTATGTTGCCCAGCCTGGTCTTAAACTCCTAGACACAAGCGATCCTCCCGCCTAGGCCTTGCAAAGTGCTGGGATTACAGATTACAGGCATGAGCCACTGCACCCAGCAGTTTCTCTCTCTCTCTTGCTTTTAAATGAAAGTAGAATGTTTTTTTGGTCTAGTCTGAGCACTGCAGCCTCAGAGCACAGATTCAAATTGCCCTGATTCTACACTCCTGGCACCTGGAATGTTTCAATGACTAGAAAACCTGTGTGCAGGCCGGGCTTGGTGGCTCAGCCTGTAATCCCAGCACGTTGGGTGGCCGAGACGACCGGATTGCCTGAGCCTGCAGGTTCGTGACCTGCCTGGGCAACTTGGTAAGACTTCGTCTCTGCAATAAATCAAAAATTAGCCGGGCGTGATAGCACGCGCCTGTAGTTCCGGCTACTTGGAAGGCTGAGGCGGAAGGATTGCCGGAGTTCAGCAGGTCGCGGCTATGGTGGACAGGAGCATACCACTGAACTCGTCTGGGTGACAGAGTGAGACTCCAACTCAAAAAAAAAAAAAAGAAAACCTGTGTGCATCCCTGGCATGGGGGCTTTTAATGAGAATTTGTTGAACAGATTCATGAGACACAGACAACCGCTTAGGACACGCCTTTGTGTTGCTTCGCCTCCTCAGATCCTGAACTGTCAATGGTTCAGGGTCATGAGCGAAAACCAAGGGTGGTCTAGGAGTCTAGACACTGGGATGAAACCAAGGCTGGAGAAAATCGACAACTCATTGAAAGAAGGAAAAAATAAAGCTGATCGGAAATATGTCTGACAGAGGCTGAGCCCTGTGGGCCTCACCTGTATAGGGACGTAGTTGATGTTGATGAACTGCAGAGGTGTCCAGACCCTCCAGTTCATCCTCAGCGCTGGCCAGAAGCTGCCCCTCATCTTGGCAGCAAAGGCTGAGGCGTCTTTCCCCTGCAGAGGGAAAAGGTGGAGGGTGAGCAACTTGTATTCCTCGGAATTGGGGTCATGGGCACCCAAGCTCTCATGCTGATTCCTGTGGAGACAGCATGGACGTGTACTTAATTAGCGCCAAGCATCAAGATGGAGAATCATCAGACACTGAGGTGGCCGATTGCTCACACTGAGGGATGATACCTGCTACCTGCATTGCCCTTCGCAGAGAACCTGCAGATGTGACTCACGCTGGGCCAGGGTGTCGTACCTACTACCTATGGCCTCGCTATCCATCAGTCCAGAGCACCCCCAAAGTACATGAGGGCCCAATCTACACCAGTCAGGAACTGGAGAAAAATGGGCCCAATACGATGATTCTGAATGTCATTTGGGAGACTGAATGCCCAGGGAGAGCCACCATGAAAAAGAACAAGAAGGGAAGGCCACTTTACCAGGGATTTAAAGACACTATAAGCCGGGCTCGGTGGCCCAGCCTGTGATCCCGCGTCTTTGGGAGGCTGAGGTGAGTGGATTGCCTGAGCCCGCGGGTTCGAGACCCGCCTGGGCAGTGGGACCTCATCTCTACAATAAATCAAAAAATCAGCCAGGCGTGGTAGCGCATGCCTGTAATTCCGGCTACTCGGAAGGCTGAGGCAGAAGGATCGCCGGAGCCCAGCAGGTCGAGGCTGCAGGGGCTGGGAGCGGCCACTGCACTCCAACCTGAGCGACAGAGTGAGACTCCAACTCAAAAAAAAAAAACACTATTAAAAAAAAAAAAAGGCAACCCCCTTGGGTCCCCTCCCACTGTGGATTCTTTTTGTCCTCTCAATAAATTAAGTCATTTATGTTTCCTCCATGGAAAGATACAAAGGAAACGTAAATGCATATTACTAAGCAAAAGGAAAAAAAAAAGACTAAAATTTATTTTGCAAGTAAATTGTTTTTACTATGATTTGTCTTAGGTAGAAACAGAAGAATAAAGAAAAAAGTTTCAGCCAGGCTCAGTGGCTCAGCCTGTAATCCCGTGCTTTGGGAGGCTGAGGTGAGTGGATTGTCTGAGCCCACGGGTTCGGGACCCACCTGGGCAACTTGGCAAGACCTCACCTCTACAATAAATCAAAAAATTAGCCGGGCGTGGTAGCGCGTGCCTGTAGTTCCAGCTACTTGGAAGGCTGAGGCGGAAGGATCACCGGAGCCCAGCAGGTCGAGGCTACGGTGGCCGGGAACGGCCACTGCACTCCAGTCTGGGCGACAGAGTGAGACTCCAACTCAAATAAAATAAAATAAAACCCGAATATGTAGCGTTTACTTGCTGTGATTGGTTAAAACAATTTACTCTCAGGGCAGAACATGACACAGCTCAGACACACAGCACAAGCTGGTGCCCTCCTCCTGGAACGGAGCCATTTAGAAACAGGCACATCTGGTGAGTACATGTGAACACACCGCCAACGTGGTGGATGCTGATTTTAAGTTTGTGCCAGCAGTTTAATCTCTTTAGAGCACTTACGATTGTTCCAGGCAGAGCCACACAGGCTTCTGTGTTTCCACTGGGGCTTCAACTTGCTGTACCGTGGGTCTCTTCGGCAGTCTGATAAAGCCCTAGGACTCCCTTCTCAGAATCATGTTTTATCATGTATAAAATAAAATACATAGAACTATAAAGTTGCCAATTATACTGAGACAATTACCAAAATAATCAGAAAACAATTTTATGATAGACTAATATATGTGCCTCTTTTATGCTGCTTGGTTTTTTTTTGAGTCGAAGTCTCACTCTGTCACCCAGGTTGGAATACAGTGGCATGTTTACGGCCACTGCAGCCTCAACTTGCTGGGCTCCAGTGATCCTTCCGCCTCAGCCTTCCAAGTAGCTGGAACTATAGGCACATGCCATCACACCCAGCTAATTTTTGATTTATTGTAGAGATGAGGTCTCACCAAGTTGCCCAGGCTGGTCTTGAACCCCTGGGCTCAGGCAATCCTCTCACCTCAGCCTCCCAAAATGCTGGGTTAATTTTTTGATTTGTTGTAGAGATGAGGTTTCACCAAGTTGCCCAGGCTGGTCTCGAACCCTGGGCTCACGTAGTCCTCTCACCTTGGCCTCCCAAAGCACTGGGATTATAGACATGAGCCACCGCGCCAGGCCTAAAATTTATTTCTTAACATTATTATTTTTAAAAAAATTTTGGCCGGGCTCCGCGGCTCAGCCTGTAGTCCCAGCACTTTGGGAGGCTGAGGCCAGTGGACTGCCTGAACCTATGGGCTGGAGACCAGCCCAGGCAACTTGGCAAGACCTCGCCTCTACAACAAATCAAAAATTAGCTGGGTGTGGTAGTATGCACATGTAGTTCCGGCTACTTGGAAGGCTGAGGCAGAAGGATCGCGTGTGCCCAGCAGGTCAACACTGGAGTGGCCATGGGCGTGCGTCCCACTGTACTCCAGCCTGGACAACAGAGACTCCAACTCAAAAAAAATTTTTTTTTGGCACAGGTTCTTTTTCTGTTGCCCAGGCTGGTGTACAGAGGTGCAATCATGGTTCACCATAGCCTGCAGTCTCAACCTCCTGGGCTTAAGCAATCCTCCTGCTTCAGCCTCTCAAATAGCTGGCACTATGGGTGTATGCCACCACATCTGGCTAATTCTTTTTTTTTTTTCTTTTTTGAGTTGGAGTCTCACTCTGTCACCCAGACTGGAGTGCAGTGGTCGCTCCCGGCCACCGCAGCCTCGCCTGCTGGGCTCCGGGGTTCCTTCCACCGCAACTTTCCAAGTAGCTGGAACTACAGGCATGCGCTACCATGCCCGGTTGATTTTTTGATTTATTGTAGAGATGAGGTCTCACTGCCCAGGCGGGTCTCAAACCCGCAGGATCAGGCAATCCACTCACCTCAGCCTCCCAAAGGCACGGGATTACAGGCTGAGCCACCAAGCCCGGCTTAATTCTTTTTTAATTTTTGTAGAGATGAGTTCCTGGCAAGTTGTCTTGATCTTCTGGTGTCAGGCAGTCCTCTTGCCTCGGCTTCCCAAAGTGTTAGAATTACAGGTGTAAGTCATCACACCCAGCCTCTATTTTTTTAAAGAGCAATGAAGAAGCACTGAATATGCTTCGTTTTTTTGAGTTGGAGTCTCACTCTGTTGCCCAGGCTGGAGTGCAGTGGCAAACTCACGGCCACCACAGCCTTGACCCGCTGGGCTTAGGTGATCCTTCCGCCTCAGCCTTCCAAGTAGCTGAAACTACAGGCACACGCTACCATGCCCGGCTAATTTTTTATTTATTGTAGAGACGAGGTCTCACTAAGTTGACCAGGCTGGTCTCGCAACCTGAGCTCAGACAATCCTCTTGCCTCCACCTCTGCCAGGCTTGAGCCACCATGCCTGGCTTGAATATGCTTCTGTAAACACATCTAGTGAGAAGACCTAATGCCAGGTCCAAGTAGTAATAAGCATACATGACATTTCAAGATACCAGAAAAACTGATATTGATATTAAAATATCTCATTTCTACTGGGGATACATAGGTTCTGCTGATACCACTCGCATTTACTTTTTACATCCATGAAGGAAAACTCAAAGTTTCGATCTGAGTGTAGTGGAAAGTTTGCAGATCCTCTGAATTGCATCCAGGGATGTCGAGTTAAGAATCCCTGTTCTAGGCCAAGCGCAGTGGCTCACGCCTGCCATCCCAGCACTTTGGGAGGCAAAGGTGAGAGGACTGCCTAACCCCAGGGATTTGAGACCAGCCTAGACAACTTGGTGATACCTCGTCTCTGCAATCGATCATAAAATTAGCCGGTGAGGTGGCCAAGACTGCAGTTCCAGCTCCTTGGAAGGCTAAGGTGAAAGGTTCACTTGAGCCCAGCAGGTTGACGCTGCAGTGGCAGTGAGTATGCTGCTGCACTCCAGCCTGGGGAATAGAGTAACACTCTAACTCCAGAAAAGAGTCCCTGTCCTAACTGAAGGGCCGCGGTCAGTGCTGTGCCCAACACCCACCTCCAGAAAGTTCATGGCGAGGAAGAACAACAGCAGGAAGCCCGGTGCAAAGAGGAGGCGGTCCAGGAGGAGCCTCTTGAGCCCTGCCAAGGGGACCTCCGGAGGGACGCAGCGTTCCAGGAAGAGGTAGAAGTGGTGACTCAGCGGCCCTGTGAAGAAGAGCCTGTGGCCCCATGGTGGTGTGAGTCGGACTGTGGCTCTGCACTGGCCTCCTGGTCCAGCTTCACCCCCAAGCCCCAGGCCCTAACCCTGCCTCCCCAACAGCCCCCAGTACTGAACACACGGTCTGCATGACTGTCTAGAAGCGGTTTCTCTGCATCTGCTTCGGGGGCTCTCTTGCCTCTGATAGCCTCAGGTTGTGCCTGCCATGGGCCCCAGCACCACCCTATTCTCCTGGGCAGCCAGCTCCTTCCACACTGCCAGCCTGCAGGGGCCCTTTCCCATTGTCCCAGCTGATGCACACGCCCCATGCCTGTTCCAGGCCCTGACCCGCTTTCTGCCGAGCACTGCCCTTATCTCATTTTCTGGTCACGCAGCGTCTCTCTTGCCCCTGAGAAGGCACACTCCACAAGGTAGGTCGAGTCTCTCCACTGCTGTGCCCACAGTGCCCAGAACAGGGTCTGGCTCTGGGAAGGTGCTCAGTAGTAAATAAATAGCCACATCTCTGGGTTGAGAGCTTTCATTTGACTCTCTGGGGTGACTGGCAAGGAAGACCCAGAGCTGCCACGGACTTGCCTGGATCGCTACTGTTCATACCACAGTCTACTTGGGAGAGGATGGAACCCAGCCACGATGGCTCTCAGGACAAAAGCCCTGTAGCACCACAAAATTCAGCAATAAAAAGGTGTAGGGGCAGGGCATGGTGGCTCACACTTGTAATCCCAGTACCTTGGGAGGCCAAGGCGAGAGGATTGCCTGAGCCCAGGGGTTTGAGACTAGCTTGGGCAACTTGGTGAGCCCTCATCTCTACAATAAGTCAGAACATTAGATGGGTATGGTGGTGCTACTTGAAAGGCATATGAGGAAGGATAGCCTGAGCCCAGCAGGTCATGGTTGTGGTGGCCGTGAGCATGCCACTGCACTCCAGCCTGGGCAGCAAAGTAAGACTCCAATTCAAAAAAAAAAGTGGAGGAGTAGGGACCTGAGGTCTCTCAGTTTCTGATTAGGGTCTTTAAACAAATGATCCTCTATTGTGTTTTTCCACCCCGACGTAGGGTGTTATCCGGCCTACACCAGGGATTCTTAGTGAGGAAGAAAACTGGAGCCTTGGGGATGGGAGAACTGTGTAACTGGATTAGGCCTCCTAGGTGATCTTGGTACATGACCCTCTCTGGTGGGATTACTGCATTAAATATATTATGGGAAAAAACCTCAATGACTCAAGTTAGCATACTTGCAAGTACGAAAACGATCTTGATAAACTGAGTTTTAAAAAACCACTAAGTTGGAAAAGACTTCAAATAACCCATGTATAACACTGTTGGCCAAAGAGCTCAGGGCAGATTAAATTGGTAAAATTCCTGAAATCCTGTGCTTTTACAATTCAGAAAGTGGATCAGAAACTGGACATTCAGGATTCCTAAGTATATCTTTTCTGGATGTTTATTTCTTTATTTTGAGTTTATTTATTTGTTTTCAGTCAGTCTCCCTCTGTTGCCCAGGCTGAAGTTCAGTGGCACGCTCATGGCCTCTGCAGCCTCGACCTGCTGGCTCAGGTGATCCTTCTGCCTCAGCCTTCCAAGTAGCTGGAACTACAGGCATGTGCCACCATACACGGCTAATGTTTTGCTTTACTGTAGAGAAAAGGTCTTGCCAAGTTGCCCAGGTGGGTCTCGAACCCCTGGGCTCAGGTAATCCTCTTGCCTCGGCCTCCCAAAATACTGGGGTTACAGGCTTGAGCTACCACATCTGGTCTGGATGTTTATTTTTTTCCTGAGTCAGACTCTCACTCTGTCACCCAGGCTAGAGGACAGTGGTGAGTCACGGCGACCACGGTCTCAACCTGTTGGGCTCAGGCGATCCTTCTGCCTCAGTCTTCCAAGTAGCCGGGACTATCATTTTGCACCACCATGCCCAGCTGATTTTTTGATTGATTGTAGAGATGAGGTCTCACTGCCCAGGTGGGTCTCGAACCTGCGGGCTCAGGCAATCCACTCACCTCAGCCTCCCAAAGGCGCGGGATTACAGGCTGAGCCACCGAGCCCAGCTAATTTTTTAAATGTATTGTAGAGACGAGGTCTTGCCATGTTGCCCAGGCTGGTCTTGAACCCGTGGACTTAGGCAATCCTCTTGTCTCAGCCTCCTAAAGTACTGGGATGACAGGTATGAGCACCGTGCCTGGCTTTTTTGGATTTCTACACCATGAAAATAACAAAAAGTAGAAACTGACTAGTCATATTGAGTGAGTATTCCAACCTAGGACAGGGTCTTTATTCCTGAACTCTGACTCTAGATTCAGGTGAGTTACCTGCCCTCAGGTCTGCCTTTCAGCCCATTTAAGATGGCCACTCCCACCCATGCAATTATAAGTGAAATCTGTGAAGCTGTCTGTATGTATAGACACACCACACGAATGATAAACACTGTCCTGAGCTCTTCCCCGTAGCGATTACTTCAGCCCTTTTTAGGAATTATCTTTCCAAATCGGAGTTTTCCCAGCGTTGGGTCTTGGTGCCCCAGCGTGGCTACACCCAGTCTGCTACAGGGTAGACCGGCCTTGGGGGGTACTCACCCAAAAGTGGCATATCTGAGAAGTCCCTTGACATCTAGATTTTGAGAGCTTTCTTTTTTCCGCTTCTTCTCAATCATCTGGGCCAGGAAGTTCCCAAGTGCTGACAGGATGCCACTGTGGACAGAGAGGTAATCAGCAAGCGGGAGCAACCAGCCTGAAGGCAGCCCTTCCTGTGTGTAAATCAGCAGGGCTGTCCTGAGATCACACTATGGAGGGGTGGGAACAAGCGCTTATTAAAACCCCTGCAGGCCAGGCACAGTAGCTCACACCTGTTATCCCAGCACTTCAGGAGGCCAAGGCAGGAGTGTCGCTTGAGACCAGGAGTTTGAAACGAGCCTGGGCTGAAGGACGATGGCGCCAGTGAGACGTACCCTTTGAGGCCAAGAGATTTATTAGAGCAGCGGCTACAGGGAGAGGGAAGGAGGTCTGTAACCGCCAGGTGGGAAAAGGGAGTGAGAGAGAGAGGGCAAGAGAGAGGTCTGTATTTATCGGTTTTGGGAGGGGGCGGCCTGTGCTCTCTGAGCCTGGCCGTGCCAGCCAGAGCCATCTTAGGGTCTTTATTGGAGGGAGCTATGAGGTAGTATTCCTATAGGGAGATAATGTTTGTACATGAGTTTAAGTTTCGCGCGCACAGGAGAGACAGGAATTTATGGTCTTTGTTGTCTTTGTTAAGGTTCCCTAGTGTTGGCACCATCTCGGGAGACATCCTTCTGGCTGTTTCCCGTGCCTTTCATGGGCAACATAGCGAGACTCCATCTCTATTTAAAAAACAAAAAAGTCCAGGCTCGTTGGCTCAGTCTGTACTTCCAGCACTTTGGGAGGCTGAGGAGAGTGGATTGCCTGAGACCGCGGGTTTGAGACCAGCCCCGGCAACCTGGTAAGACCTTGTCTCTACAATAAATCAAAAATTAGCCAGACATAGTAGGGTGCGCCTGTAGTTCTGGCTACTTGGAAGGCTGAGGCAGAAGGACTGCCGGAGCCCAGCAGGGGATGCTGGGGTGGCCCTGAGTGTGCTACTGCACTCCAGCCTGGGTGACAGAGTAAGACTCCAACTCAAAAAGGGGGGGGGCTGGGCACGGTGGCTCATGCCTATAATCCCAGGACTTTGGGAGGCCAAGGTGAGAGGACTGCCTGAGCCCAGGGGTTCGAGACCAGCCTGGGCAACTTGGTGAGATCTCATAAATTAAGAAAAATAAGCTGGGTGTGGTGGCACACACCTGTAGTTCCAGTTACTTCGAAGGTTGAGGCGTAAGAACTGCCTGAGCCCAGCAGGTTGAGGCTGCGGTGGCAGTGAGCATGCCACTGTACTCCAGCCTGGCAACAGAGTGAGACTCCAACTCAAAAAAAAAAAAGAGCAGGGGCATGATGAAATTCCCACATCAAGAGGACTCCACACATAGAGAGATCAGTATGGTAAGACTTCCAGCTAGTGGACCGTATCAACATCTATCTGGCTGTGATGTTAGACTATCATTTTGCAGAACAACACCATGGGGAGTTAGGAAGCTGGGGCAACAGGAGGGACCTTGGACACTGTTCTGTATTTTGACTGTGGTGGTGAATACGTGAACCTACATACAGGACAAACCTGCACGGAACACACGTGCGAGTACAAGGGCCAGGGACGGCTGCCAGGTTCTGGGGACCACGCATGCCAGTGTCCTGGCTGTGAAACCGTCCACAGCGCTGCACCTGGTAACCCAGGGGAAACTGGATAGGGCAGGCAACTGCGTGGGAACCTACACTCACCACAAGCAACAGGCTGGTCTCCAACCCTTGGGCTCAGGCAGTCCTCTGGTCTCCAAGTCCCAAGGTGCTGGGATGACAGGCGTGAGCCACCGTGCCTGGGCCCTAAGTATCTATTTTCTGGATGTTTATACTATGAAAATAGCAGGAGAGGCCGGGCGCTGTGGCTTACGCCTGTCAGCCCAGCACTTTCTTCCTGTGGTCCCAGCTACGTGGAAGGCTGAGGCGGGAGGACAGCCTGAGCCCGGAAGGTCGAG